AGATGGGACCAACACACCCGGCCCCATTTCCCCAGACCCTCAGAAAACATAGGGACCCCCCCCCTCCCCTCCCGGAGCCTGGTGCTTCAGACACACTACAGGTCCGTCTGCGAGCTGCAACATGGACTCCCTGGCCCGTTCAGCTCGTCTCGTGCTGTTGGACCTCAGGATGATAACGCCCACACATTCGTCTCCTCTGGCTTCCTCTGAGCCGTAGTGAAGGCACGCAGCTGGGTGTTTGTAACCCGGAAAGCCACCGCGGCCTGCTCTGCCTTCAGCTCTCTCACATGGGAATGAAAGCCATGCCGTAAGCCCTCGCCCTGGAGGCTCCAGCTCCTCGTGCGTCTCCACTCTGCCGGCAGTTGGGTGCTCTGATGGGGTTTTAGGAACTGTTTGACGTGGTAGGAAAGGTGCTGGATAGTTCTGCTTCAGATGGACAGGCTGTCGTGCTCAGAGTTAAATGTGTCAGGTGTGCCAGCTGGTGGGTTTATTCAGATCGTCATGGTGATGTAAAACAAATCATTCAGGTCTGATGAAGCAGCTTTCCGTTAGAACGCTGTGATCATTGAACCTGTAGACGTTTAAACTACGTCAGTTTGGAGAAACGGAGCTTAGATCTGATTGGACAGAGAAACTTGGTCCGAGTCCAAACCCCAAAATGTCTTTGCTGCACTTTGAAAACCTCTACATGATCACAGTTACATTGTTATTCAGGCAGGAAGGTTATGAAATTCCACCCAGCAGCCTTTGACCCATGACCTTTGACCTCAAACCGAAGTCCGTTAACGAGCAGCAGCGAACACGTGTCCACATCCAGGGACTGCGTCCTTCCGAGGACATCCAAATTCCCAGCATACTTGAAACGCGTCTTGCTGGTTGCTGAATGTCAGACCGGTCTGGTGTGTCCTCACAGAGAAGGCTGTCCCAGGATGGGTCGTGGGCTGAACCAGGTTCTTGTATTTGCAGTAGTGGTGTGAGAAACGAGGGGATTACAGTATCTGGTGGTGTAAGCCTAAAGCCGTTGTGTTGTTGGGCTTTTGTTCTTTAAACATCCTCATGTAGGGCGAGTGCTGTGCTCTCTCACCGCTAAAGCCTCGTTTACACTCCTCCATCTGCTCCACACACACCGTCAGACGTTCTGCTCTCGGACCTCTCCGTCACCTGGGTCACTGTTGAGATCAGTTCCCCACCAGGACAGCTGTGGACGTAATCCTGCCACCAGTACGCTCACTGTCCTGCACTTCTTCATGCGGTCGGCACCTCTAACCCCACGTTTCCCGTCGTTTCCATCCACAAACCAAACGTGTGCTCCGTATCTTTGTACTCCTTCAGCCACGGGTGAATAAATGTTCATATTTTTGGACTTTTTCTGTGATGCGTTCTTCAGTCTGTTCTAGGGTTGTCACGGTAACCGGTGTAGCGGTAAACCCCGGTAAAAAAGTTGACAATAATAATAACCGTCTTGTTTTTTAAAAAACTATATTATCTCGGTGGATTACCGTGGCTGCGGCGTAGGCGCGGTGACCCTTACCAGCCACCGTATCATCGGCTGAAGTTGCCGGCGGCACATGCGCACTTTGTTGTTTACAACCAAAACTTTCTTGAAGCTAAAGCTGAAATAATGGCCAAAGGAGGAGACGGCAGCACTCGGGACATTTATTATCCCTCAAAGAAGACAAAGTGGGAATTACGGGCATCTTCTGGATATTTGAAGAATGCCGAGGGACAGTTGATAGAAGACGGCTATCCTGTTTGCAGCACGAGCAGAAAAAGTGTCTGTGAAAGGCAGCAACGCTTCAAATCTCATGACACATCTGCGTGACCATCACCCACAACTCTACAGTCAACGCAAGGCAAGCTAACGTTAGCGTTTTAGCTAAAATGCGTGATCCGAGGATTTGGGTTGAGGGAGAATGCAACGAGTGGCTATATAAAGCAGCCGCAGCGCCGCTACCTGCATATAAACCGTGTCGCGGACACCCCCATGTTGAAATGACGCTATGCATTACGGAGCTCCCAGGGGCAGATAAGAGTTGGTCTCTCTCCGAGAATAATTATGAATTTAACAACGATTACTGCCTGATGACATTTTCCCACATCTGCAAAGCTCACTGGAAGGACACAAACCGAGGACAATATTTTCCTGATATAGGGTTTATTACTCAAGTAAGGGTAAAAAAGTATCTGATTAGAAGGCTACTTGAGTACTGAGTATCATCTGATCTAATATTTTTAAAATGATAACATCAAACAGATATAAAATAAGAAGTTATGGGCAAATATTGGTATTTTAAAGACTAAAGGGGAAAAATGTAAACAAATAAACAACATAATTACAAAATAACACATTTTAGGCAAAATTTAGACACAAACTTAGGACAATATTTCCTGACATACAGGGTTTATGTAGTTGTCTGAAAATGTAGCACGTTTAAAAAAAATACCGCGATAATACCGAAAACCGTGGTAATTTTGGTCACAATAACCGTGAGGTTACATTTTCACACCGACAACCCTAGTCTGTTCTGGATCTGCTGCTCAGTATCAGTGGTGGGACTGTTGACAGAGTTAAAGGAAGTGGCGTCCTGACCAATCACAAGCTTGCGGTCTCTGTCATTTTCTGATGGATATTCAAACATTCTGTGTCTAAGTCCGCCTCTGGGAGCTTATCGGTGAGCCCTTGCCCCGCTGGGTGTCTGCACCGGCACTGATGGAGAAGTAAAAATCAGGCTTAAAGCCTTGTTTGTTCCTCCAGAGGCACGGAGACGCACGCCATCACCCGCCAACGCAAGGGCTCACCCACGGGCACGCAGCCCCATTTTTAACTCTCCGTCAAATGCAAGGGACAGATGCGTCTGATTGGTCGGCCCAACTAAAGCGGCAGCGTTGGTGGATGGACGCCGCCGTCTCCTTTGCTCCGTTGACTTCTTTGTACCAAACGGTTTTGATCCTCGAGGTCAAGCCCTCTCTCTTAAAATGCTCTCCGTCAGCCATGGGTCGTTGAGTGGATTAACACTCACAAGTTTTTTTAATAACTTTATCTAACAAAATAAGACCAATGACAAATCACAAGAATCTAAAATGTTGATTTAAATTCAACCCTTCAAGGTCTGTTTGTTTACACGCCCCCTGCTGTTCTGGTGGAGAATTGCTGTGAAACACTGACGCAGCAACAGGATGGAAAACGTTTCCGACCATGTGAGTGCTAACCTGCTGACAGAAGTATGAACGAGGCTTAAGATTAGTTTCATCTACTGTTTGTTACCGTTGTGGTTGCTAGGCAACAGGACATACACTGAAGTAGGGGCGGGAATAAATATGAAGGCTAGACCGTCCAAATTCAGTCGCTCACTTGAGTTTACCAGTGGACGAAGGAACTGGCCAACCCGGTCCACGTTCGTCCGGTCCTCACCAGGACGCCGCCCCGGAATGTGGACACATTCATTAGCTGCACCTGAACCCTGGGTGGACATGTCCCCATATCCGCTGAAGTCTTCACTCTCATGTTCAACACTCGTGAGATGATCAGCGGTCTGATCTGGGGGACAGCTCAGGTCCAGCGTTTGGATCGTGGCTTCATGGCTGCTTCTCAGCTGAAGATCTAGAGCAGCACACCAGCTAGCTGTGAGGAGCTCCGATGTCCTCTCAGCTGCTGCTCAGTGTAATGGGGATGTTTTCAGCTCCGTGCTCGCCTCCTCTGGCTAGTCATGATTCCCTGCTGTGAATGCATTCTGAAGCCTCCAGGAACACAGAAGCACCTCGATCAGCCAGCCGAGGGCCACACATGCCAGCTGGGTTAAAGCCATACGTCTGAGGACAGCACATGGGTGCTTCTACCTGTCTATGCGACCCATCATCAAACACCTGTTTACATGACGTGTGGACAGAAACACGGCTGTTTGTTTTACCAAAGTGTGACTTTCTAACCAGGATGTGGCGTCCCCTCAGCCCGCGGACGGACGGAGACGGTGCCTTACAGCAGTGTTCCCGTGCACCAGCCTGTGTGTGTGTGTGTGTGTGTGTGTGTGTGTGTGTGTGTGTGTGTGTGTGTGTGTGTGTGTGTGTGTGTGTGTGTGTGTGTGTGTGGAGGAAAGCCCTTCAGCCCTCCTCTGTGTCATGTTGTATATTTTTATGTGAAGACGATAGGATCTCATGAAGCGTTTCTATTTTTGTAAAGACCAAACGGGTGTGTCTGCTGACCCGGCCTCTTGTGCGTGGTAGCTCTGAGTTTCGGGTGTTTTGTAGGAATCGAAGCCTTATTGTGCCAAACCGTTTTCTATGGTGTTGATGCAGAACTTGGGGTTCCTGTTGTATTGGACTGTTCTCCCAGAGGGAGGACAGCGTGATGCACTTGTGTTTGGTAAAACAAGACCTAGCTGAATCTGATCTTTTACCGTTTATGTGAAACAGAAGCTGAGTTAGTAATTAGGCATAAAACTTTTATTAGAGTTGAACTGTAGACAGATACAGGTAGCCTCTAGTGTTTGTACTGAACGTTTAATAGTGACTATAAATGATCCCAAAGCCCATCTGGACGTCCTCTTGGACGTTCTGGTGTCTCCTTCTGTACCTCCTGAAGATTTGTTTCCTTAAAATGTAAAAACTGGGGATTCTGTTTGTTTGGTTCAGTTTTCTGTTTGATGCTTTCAAATGTTTACAAGCTGCTTGTTGAAGTGGCGCTTCAATGTGCAAAGGTCAGAGGAAGTGTTTACAACAAGCTGTTGAGTGAGACCAATCATTAAAATCATCTGACTGACTGTGTGTGCCTCTTGTACCAACACACAAAGGACCTGGCATTTTCAGCAGTTGATGGGTGTACTGGTCGTGCTGGTCATCGGGCGTCAGGCCTCGGGCTGGATGCTCGGGGGTGGCGATCAGGAGCCACTGGTCTCTGGCTTCTCCTTTTCCACATATCCAGACGGATCTGAAAGAGAAAGGTTTCATGTCTTTCATCTGAAGTAAAACTCTTAAACCATTCCAGATCCATGCTGGTTAGCGGTGTGCTGGACCACCAGGTGTCTGAGGTAACGTCTGCTTCAGTCTGGGCTTTTCAGCAGCACAGCTGCACTGGCTCCACTCCGCCTGGACCCGGTTGGGACTGCTCTCTTTTAGGTAAACCAGAATCGTCCTGAGCACAACCGAACGTCGTTCCAGCCCTGTTCTCCGGGGTGTCTGTCTGGAGCCGAACGGGGCCGACACGCCCACTGCTGACTGATTGGCTGGCTCAAAAACACGACTACCATTTAGGGATGAGAGATCCGCCGATCTCAACCGGTGGTTGGCTCATGACGGTAGCGTCAGTGTGCGTCGGTTACAACTGTCGGCTATATCACTAAGCATCTTTGCATGCGTGTGTCTGCGGTGAAAACCACGTTACATCGGTTACGTCTTTGTTCACCTGCTTTGTCTTCATTTTTTGAGGCGCATCATAAATTGTATCTAATAGAAAATCATCTTCAAATCAATAAAGAATTGTGAGCAGGGATGGATCGTGTCAGATTGTATCAGCTCAGGGTTTCATCGTGTCGTTAACGCATCTCCTCGCTGGTTGTGTATCGAGATAATCGACTCGGCCTCAGGTTTAGATTCACATCCCCGCTACCGTTAGGGGAGCCTCTGATTGACCGTTGAATTAGCCCGCAGGGCTTCCCGCATGCACGATGAACAAGTTGACAAGCCATCAGCGTCAGCCTGAAGAAGCCGGCAGCCGTCGGCGAAACTGTAGCTACAAACAGGTAAACAAAACTGTTTCTGTGTTTAAAAAAAGAACGAAAGCATGAAGTTAACAAGCCTCTCACTGAAGCTGTGTAACACACACACACACACACACACACAGTGCTGCAGGATGCAGTATCTGAGTCCTCAAAAGCAAGACTGCTCAGGCCGCTTTTGTTTAATGATGGAGACTCCGCAGACTTGTCCACGCTATTTTCCTCGCCGATGTGCTCGTGACTTCGCAGCCCACCCATGTGCTCGATCACATCCACGTTTCTAAGGCAGTGTGGAACGAACGCAGCCTGGCTGGGGCGGGCTAGTGGAGCTGATGCTAGTGTGTAAGTGGCTAAAGTAAACTTTGGCTCCTCAGTGACCAAAGTCACGCTTCGAGTTAGCTGTAGAAGCAGATGCACGAAAAAAAAACTTAAAGCCAAAATGTCTGTAAGCTCTGAAAGGTTTGGCTCCTGTTAGCTCTGTACCCTTAGCCCCACTCCCAATAACGTTTAACACTGGCCGTGTTCGAGATGAGCAGCGCCTCGCCTGGAAACCAGACGAGAGCAGACGGAAGCAGCAGGGGGCGTGGCTGAAAGCCGGCGTTTAAGTCGGACACAATTTCCTACATGTGTAGCTCGCGGGTGACGATGGCTGAAGATATCGCGTTAGCGTTCATACGTGTTTAATTATTTATTTTAATTCTGGTGCCTGTTAGCAGCTGAAACACATCCTCGCGTGCTTGTGGATATCATATATTGTATATGGAGACATGACTGTAATAATAAGTAAAGGTTAGCAGCTGTAGCTTCAGTGTGACAAAATAACACAAAACACATTTCTCTTTATGGCCTATATAGTTGTCATCATTAACGTAACATGATTTACAGAATACATGTGGCCAACTAACATTTCATGTTCTACCACCGGATGTTTGGATCAAGATAAGGACCAATCAGATCTTAGATCAGGTGAGAGCCAGGCGTTTCCTGTCATCCTCTAGGTTTTGCAGCCGGTGGAGAGCAACTGCAGCACCTTGCTCCAAAATCTGCGGCCGCCTTGATCTCACGAGGTTATCGTTGCCTACGTATGCATGACGTCAGGGCAAGTCGTCGTCAAATCGGACACGAATCTAACCGACATGCACTGCTCGCCGGTCTAATGCTGGTCCAATCTGCGCAGAACTGGCTCATCGAACACAGCCATTGGTTAAAATGTGGGTGGTGTTCACTTCAGCCAACAGATGCCCAGCTGGGACCCACAGCCAGCATGTGTTTGAAACAAAAATAATAAAAATGCATTAACACACCATAAAATATATTCTGGGGTCAATTGAACCAGTTAATGTCATAATAATGTGTTCACTCTTTCATCTAACCTAAGGTTCTATCCTAGGGCGTAGAGGTCTAGCTGGTGATGTCAGCACCTGTCTGGAGCACACAGGCGTGTGTTCACACAAGGAGGGAATACATGACATCAGTCACCTTGAAGAGGAAGTTGCTGCCCTTCAATCTGAGAAGGGTCAAAGGTCATTTCATAACTTTACAGTCCATCGCTATACAGAGAAAGATGTTTCACAAGCGGAGAACATTCCAGACAGCTGATCTTCCAAGAACAAACATCTCAGCAGTTTCACCCAGAGGTCAACGGTGAGATGAATAACTATCCGAGACTCTACTGGCCTCAGGTAGCAGGTCAAAGGTCACGATGGCTTGTTTAATCACTGTTTAACAGCCAGAGCCTGGACCCAACCAGATCATCAAACCGACAACACAGTAATTTACCTAAGTGATGGTTTCTGTGGATACGACAGGTGTAGAGGAGCAACAGGAACAGGCAGAAGCAGATGACAGATGTTACTGTGGAACACAGCAGGAAGGAGTAGCTGCCTCGGCTGTGGATCACCTGCAGGGAGGAAAACACACCTGCGTGTTGGACATCAGCGCAGGATCAGACTGATGTTGCCCTGCAGCACAAAGGCCCTAGATTTAATCTCTTAATCCCTCAACCCTTTCAGCTTAAGAAACTTCCCTGTTGGGAAGTTTTATCCTGGACTCGAGCTGTTCCGTTAACAGCCTTGCTAATGCTACACAACAGCATAACTCCGTAAATCCTCGAACCACACGTGGAGAAGCACACAGTGCCATGTGTCTGAATTACCTTTTTACATGTTTGTCAAACCTAAAAGTTTCAGATCCCTAAGTACTTAAGCCCTACAGTCACACCTGATAACTGATGTCTTCAGAGTGCCACCACTCTGATTCAGACCTGGATAGTAAGGAGCAGTCTCGTTGAGGACTGATGCACATAACCGGTTAACCTTACTATAAAATGTTTCTGGACATATTGATGCAGAGTACAAATTTGGCCATTGCCTACCACAAGGTCAGAACATTTCTGTGCATTCAGAAATCAAGATAAAGTAGATGGAGCAAGTTTAGACCGTGTAAGCAAGTCCATTACAGTGAAACATCAAAGCCCAGTGATCAGCGGAAACTGTCCTACCTCATCAACACTCATAGATGGAATGCCAAAAAGAGAACGAAGTCCAACGTGTATCCATACTTATGAGTTGGACCTGATCCAAACAATAAAAAAATCTAAAATTTCAAAAAAATCCTTGACAAGTGGAATGCCAGGACAACACACATGAATGTTAAACTCTCCTAGGATGACAACACGATCATATTTAGGTTAAAAAACAGCCAAAAGGTCAACAAAATCAAATAGAATGTTAGTATTAAACTTTGGAGGATGGTAGATAAGAAATCCTAGGAATCTAGAGGCTATGCCAAAGTCAGTTTAGCACAATTCAAAGCTGTCAACAAGTGCCGGAGAACAGTTGTCTACAGTTAAGACAACCCCCAACAACACAGAGCAACCCACCACCCTTTACATTAAAACACATAAAATCATTGGGTAATAATTCAGAAAGCATCCAGAGGGACCCAACTTTCCACAATTCCAAAGAAATCAAGTCTGTTCTAAAAAGTCTTTTAAAATGAATGGTTTGCTCATTGTTCAGAACAAGTTAAAGTTATCAATCAAAACAAAGTTTTGCACTCTGCAGGTAGACTGAAGCCATGAATGAAGCCCAAGAATCCTGCTAAAATCCCACAACTGCTGGTAGAGATAGGACCTGCGATAAATAAGGACTTTCAGCGTTGTTTAAGAACATTAAAAACCAAACCAACGTCACTTTTTGTCAGTTCAGAATGGTTGCACTTGGTGTCATTGAAACCCACATGGATAGTTATCCTTTTAATAGATTGAGGAAGTGATGGAAGTAGATTAACAAGTGTATCTAAAATAACAGGGACTGCTACCCCTGGAAAACACAGTGGGGTGGCATTGGAGAAATGCACATTTCTAATAATAGCCACTGTAGTGGCGATTCCTTGTTTGTCCAACCAATTTCCTTAGGGTTTTAAATCCAAGCCACTGCTGCACTGAAGTGATGCCTTGTACGTAGGCAAAAGAAGTCCAATGTCCAAACAATCTTAACTGTTGAATATTTTTGGTGTTTATTCATCCAACTTGGAAAGTACTGTATACAGCTGCTTTTCCTGCTCTGGTAAAAAAAACTATAGGCCCATCCCAGTGCACGCAAACCCTAACCCTAACCCAAACAAAACACCTCTTTTCTTCCAGGCTGATTCTCACAAGCAAAACAAAAATAAATAACATCATCATTAACCAACAACTAAACCCAATAAATAACCCAACAACTGTAAGTAACCCAAATAGCTCCAACAGCCACCAATAATGACAACGGTTGGTGCAAACAGCAATCGAGGGGGATAGGTCAGATGCTGTGGCTCGTGTGACGTCAATTTATTCAGAAGGAACAAAAATCCCGTCCAGTGATATAAAGTTGGAATTGGCAGACCTGGAGGGAGCCTTCTTTTGTTGCAGTTGGCTAATAGAGTGCTGATTGGCAGAGGCTGCAGGCAGCGGTACAGCCGGGGCTAGACAACAGGATGGTGGAGGTTCAGCCATCTCTGATGACACCGCAAAACAGTTGGAGAGATTGGGAGCATGTAGTTCCATCCCATCATTCCATCTTTTTTGTGCCTCAGACCACTTCAGGTCAGAGTGGAGAAAACCCAGAAGTGGAACAGATCAGAGCTGTTGATGGGAGCCTTTGGTCTGGCCCCAATACATTTCTAATGGTCAGCGCAAGCAGAAACATTCACCCTGGGCATGGGACCATCCGCGCAACACAATCCTGCACCACCCGCCCACATCTCTGGGATATCAGGACTTACTCCCAGTAAGACTTGGCCACCATTTGAACCAAGCCAGGGCAGGGGCAGCATGGAAGCAATGTCGTCCGGGACCGGCCCGGATAACCTTTGTCCAGGAAAGGCAGCCAACCCAGAAAGCTGCACCAGCGAAAAATGTTTGGCTTGGGCGGAGGCGAAACCAACTCTCAGCCTGTTTTTCTTCTGGGTTTCACTTCTTAAACGATCGACGATATCCATTAAACATAAGCAGCCTCGTTTACAGTCTTGACAGCAGGCTTGGCTACTAATTTCTCTGTCACTGTCAGCTTTGTCGATGACAGCTGTTACAGCTGGCAGCCATGTTGTTGAGATAAACCTTCTGCACAGATGTGAGTATTTTTATAGATAAATGAAAGTCGGCCTCTAAAAGGTCTCACCAAATGCCACACAAGAAGATGCTTCCTAAGGTGCTCTCTCTGATCAGTCGAATCTGTTGTCCTTGAGCCACTGCAGATGCATTTCTGAACATTGAGATGGATGTTCTACCAAACAGCTGTCAAACGGACCTGGGTAAAGTTCTACTTGGACATCATATCAGACTTTCGGAACCCTCATAATCTTTTTAATACTCTCGACTCTATTTAAATGGTTCTGAATCCATAAAGTTTTCGGGCGACACCTGTAACAAACTTGCATTTCTTCTCGGACAATGTTCGGAGTGCGAGTGCTGCCCCCACACGATCCTTCTATCTTGGTTCCTGCTTTGTTGGAGTATTTTCTGCCAGTATCTCTGTCCGTACAACACGGGGTGATTCAGAGCTTGAAACCAGCAGGCTCTCTTCTTCTGGAGATGCTCTGTCTGATGGACGCTACCAATGCAAAGCCTTGGTCCCACGAGTGGAGAACGGAGGCCTTCCCATGTCCAACACACTTACATCAAATTTGAGAGAAACAAACATTTTGGAAAACGACATTTGAAAAAGTTCCTTGATATGTTCCTTCAAGATTTATTTTAGAATTTCAGAACGGCTTTATGTGCCTGTCTCTTTACAAAAATGTCCCAAAAAACTAGAAACTTTGTTTTAAAACTGTTTAGCAGCAGCAACATCAATATTTTTTTATTCTGAATATTTTATTTGCTCATTAAACGTATAACTTTTAGAGTTTTACGTGCACAGGTGAAACTTGATCAATTAGAATCTGGTACAAACATTCATTCATGCCAGTAATTCAACTTAAAAGGTGAAACTAACACATGAGACAGACTCATTCCATGCTAAATTTAAAATCTTTATTTGTTATAAGTGTGATAATTCTGGCTTACCGCTGATGAAAACCCACATTCAACATCTCAGACTATTAGAATATTGTGAAAAGGTTCAATATTCTAGACTGAAAGTGTCACCCTCTGATTAGCTGATGAATCCAGAACACCTGCTGATGGTTCCTGAGCCTTTCCCTCAGTCTGAGCTGGATCACGGGCATATTCTAATTTTTTTGAGTCTCACCTGTATGTCTTCATTAAATAAGATGCATTCATGGTTAAAGAACGCTGGTTTTCCCTGGGGGTGACCAGGGGCACAGATTCTGCTCTACATTTGTTCACACCATGCGTAAACGAATCCATAGAGGCTTAACCAAAACGTAACGTTTCTGTAACTTTTACTGAAACCAAAACCCAATTTGATTGTTTGCTCCACAGGCAGGCGCGCTGCAAGCTTTTCAACAGTGCGGGGGATGTTGTCTGTGGACGTCATCAGTTGTAAATTGAAACTCAGCCTCAATCCAGTAACGGGTCCGCGCATAATTCAAATCAAATCAAATCAACTTTATTTATAGAGCGCTTTCACATGGCCAGAATGGACAAACAAAGCACTGTACATCAATAAAATGCCACACAATAGGACAGAGATATGACCATTAAAATACATTAATAAATCCCTGTAAAATACCGTAATAAATCCTATAAAAATACAATAAGAAATCCATTTTAAAATACAGTACAAAAACCTGAGTGCCAGTTCACAGTCCATATCCGGCCTACTTCCCCCAACTTCAACGTCCAAAAGCCAGCGAGAACAGATGTGTTTTCAGTCTTCCTTTAAAGGTTTCTAATGACTTGGCCTGTTTTACATCGGCTGGCAGCTCATTCCAGAGACTTGGTCCAAGTACTGAAAAAGCTCGACTACCACGAGACTTCAGGCTGTACCTAGGCACAGTTTGTAATCTCTGGTCAGCTGACCTAAGGGAACGCACCGGGACATGCTGGTGGATGACATGGGAAAGATATTTAGGAGCCCCTGTGTTTAACGCCTTGAACACAAACAGGAGGACCTTAAACCTGATGCGATAAAAAACAGGGAGCCAATGCAAGGCACGTAGGACTGGTGTTATATGTTCAGACCACCTGGTAGATGTTAACAACCGGGCTGCAGAGTTCTGAACCGCCTGGAGGCGTGCTACTGGAGCTTGTCTAAGCCCCGCATATAGCGAATTACAGTAATCCAGCCTGCAGGTAATAAAGGCATGGATTACAGTTTCCAAATGATTATGGGACAGAAATGGCTTAATTTTCGCAATGCGGCGTAGATGAAAGAAGCAAGGTCTCACAACACTGTTCACCTGAGCATCAAATCTGAGATCTGCGTCCAGTTTTACCCCTAAGTTAGGGACCACCGCCTTCTGATGCGGTGCCAGAGTGGCAAAATCAAGCCCTTGGGTACCTCCTGGGGTCTTTGGTGGCGTGAACAGAATAACTTCAGTCTTGTGTTCGTTGAAACACAAGAAGTTCTGAGCCAGCCATTGCTTGATGTTCTCAAGGCAGTCCAACAGAGGTTGAATGGTGCATAAACCACCACGCTTAATTGGAAAAATGACCTGGCAATCATCAGCATAGAGATGGAATGACACATTGTGTTTACGAAATAGTTCACCCAGGGGTATGAGATATAAGGAGAAAAATAGTGGGGCCAAAATCGATCCCTGGGGAACTCCCCATGGCAGCTCAGCCAGATCGACAAATTCACAGTAACAAAGTCCTTCCAAAAACATGCTTAATATTCACCGATGTATAAACCGCACACATGCAGAACGGGAAGAACTGATCTTCCAAACAGAACCCGAGTTTTCTCCATCAACAGCACCCAATTCAACAATAAGCTGTTAAATCAGAAGGACGTAAAAAGACACTAAACACGCATTTAGAGAAAAACACACAGTAGCGACAATCCAATATCCTATCCACAGAATCGGCCGCTTAAATGAAAGCCCAGGCTCTCCTCTTTCCAACAATATTCATGCACTCTACGTGCAAAATTCACAGAGCCAGCAGCTAACCAACCACAGCTCGCTTCATGACGTGAAAAGCGTAAATTCAGTCTTACCTTTGTTGATTCATGGTCACAACCCATGTTATAGTGAAAGCAGTCCAATCCCTTTGTGTAATCCATCTTCACAACATCACACTAAGCTGAGTCGTGGCTGTTTTAGCTTGCATCCATCCGGCGCCAAATCCCAAAAAACTAGCCTAAAAAAATCAAAAGCTAGCGATTCTATTGGCTCAGAGGTTTCCTAACTAACCGGACCGGCTCCAATAATCCAACGGCGGGGTCCGGAGAGACTCTCCTGAATAAACTGCAGTTCCAGCCCAGTCCACCAGCGCACAGGTGTACTCAGGTAGCGGCGGGGCGGTTTCGACAAACTTTATTTGTCACTGAATGTTAACAAAGCTGATTTTAAAGTTGGACAACAAAAACTATTCCATAGAAGAAGCGTTCAACTATTCCTCTTACAAGTGGCCCACTGTGGCATGTGAGACCTCGCCGTCAGTGTGCACATATTACAAACCTCTGAAAATTGTTGTTCTTCACTTTATCAAACTCAGACCTTGTACAGCTAATGTCAAGATGTAAAATTGTAAATTCAGTGAAATTCAAAACTACTGATGCATTTTTCCAAAGAGGTATTCATCCTGAAATCAACCATTTCAGGCAAAATAATCAAAAGAAAAATAATCAACTTTTTTACAATGTTCCTTGTCCATTTACACTTCATCAGCAACACATATTCTAATATTCACACATCTGAACAAATCCCACAAGAATTCCCTTTATAATGAGTCCAAAAGTAATGAAAAAGACCTCGTGGTTACAGGAATATAGCCATTAAAGTGTGGACATGCTATTTGTTTTATTTTAACAACACCATCAAATGGTTTGTTACATTTACTTCCTGTTTTATAAGAACGTAATATGAATGTAACATTAAACAGCGTAGTCACTAGTGGAGAATGGTGGTGGTGATTATGAATAGCAGGACACTAAAAGACATTAAAAGACAGATCAACAACACTTTAGGAAACAACTTAATCATTAACCAGGGGTTAACCAACATGCAAATGATGCAGTCTGATTTATGAATTACTAATGATAACACATTGATGAATGACCTGAGTACATTACACATCTCCAAAAATGAAAACTTATTGTGTTATTTCCTCCAGTTTGAACCCTAAAATTAGACACAGCTCAAGCTATGACCTATAAAGTACATTACTTGCAAAATGAAGAATTTAGCTGTACATTCTTTGGATTGAAAAACAAAACAACAGGGGAGGTAAGATTCACCAAACACCTCGCAGAAGTGAAAACCTGTTTCATATGAGCTGTGGTAACGGAGTAGGTGAGATAAAAGTATTATTTAAAAAGCATCTCCACAGCTGTAATCATCACACTGGATGACTCCAAAAGCAAGACATCCAACACTACCTACAGTTCAAGTTATTTTCAAGAACAATCTGTGTAACATCTGTGAGCGAGACAGATAAGTAGACTCCAGTGTTACGTTACTATGAATGTTGGACAATGACCAAACAGGCGGGATTTATGGTGGGAAGCAAATCGATTGGTTGAAAGCCGGTTGTGTCAGAGCAACAGGAGAGAAATAAGACAAGTGTGGGCGTTGAACCATCTCAATAATAAACGTGTGGGCGTCGAACCATCTCAATAAGAAGCGTGTGGGTGTTGAACCATCTCAATAAGAAAAGTGTGGGTGTTGAACCATCTCAATAAGAAAAGTGTGGGCGTCGAACCATCTCAATAAGAAACGTGTGGGTGTTGAACCATCTCAATAAGAAAAGTGTGGGTGTTGAACCATCTCAATAAGAAAAGTGTGGGTGTTGAACCATCTCAATAAGAAAAGTGTGGGCGTTGAACCATCTCAATAAGAAACGTGTGGGTGTTGAACCATCTTAATAAGAAAAGTGTGGGCGTTGAACCATCTCAATAAGAAAAGTGTGGGTGTTGAATCCCCCACATGCCCCACGGGTGCGACGCCCATGTCCACAGCTAACTGGAGGCTTTCTCTGCCGCCGCGGTAGATCTGCCTACATGTTGTGTAGTAAACAGCATCATTTTCCTTGAAACAAGGCTTTATTCTGGGTACTGCTTCCACTCTTTGCCTCCTAACCTTTAGCTGAAACACGAGCCCTGCTCTCTGATGCTCCTGCTGCCTGTTGGATCAGTCGATCTGACGCATATGGGCCATTCCCATCTGTACCGGGTCGGCCCGGGCCGGGTAGCCCCAGTCGGCCCCAGCCTGGCCCGGTTGATTCCACACATCCTTGCCTTAAGCCCATGTGGGCTGATTCTACCCACCAATCAGAGGCTTGCTCTAATGGAAGGTGTGAATTTGCTGTCAGCAGTGGGTGTGTTGGCCCTGGTCGGCCTGAAGCAGACCCCCTCGAGAAGAGGGCCGAGAATGAGCCTTGGTTGGCCCGGAAAAATACCAGGCCACCCAGATATGTAAACAACCTACGCTACCCGGCCCGGGCCGACCCGGTACAGATGGGAATGGCCCATAAGATGCTGGTCATGGATCCTCACGCTCAGCTCACTTCTGTTGGACCCAAATGGCTGTGGCTCAGCGAGTGGAGCAGTTACCTGCTACGTTGCTGTTGGTCCCACGGCATCGAAACATGAGTGAGACCAAGAACTATATGTAGGACATGATGCAGAAGCTGAAGCCAAAAAGAACCAAGGCACCTTCCAGCAGCTGCATGTTTTTAGCTCCGCCCACTCCATGGACAAACAAGCAGAACATTTTCCTGACTAACAAGTTGATAAAAAAATATAAAAAATCCCAAACACACGTAAGGTATAACTCACGTAAACGTGCCAAGGAAAGAATACAGAGTATTAGCCTTCAGATTCAGATGTAACTCCCTGGAACTCAGAAACCCAAATATGTCCCCTTGAGTCTGTCCTGTCCCTTTCAGATGTCCCTCTCTGACCTGTATGTCCCAGGAGATAGGATGTGTCTTACTGATCCAACGAGCAGCTGCAGCAACATCTCTCCGGCGCTGGCGCACGTCACCAGGACTGTCGTTGCACAACCTTTAAAACACACACCTCCATTAATAACTGGAGCTCCGACTCTGCAGATTTGGTAATATTTATAAAAATAAAGTACTTGATTATGTAATTAATGAGCAAGATTTATAATTGAATAAAACAACAACATTCCAGTGTGTGAAATTTGTATTAATAAATATTGGTTTACCATTTTCAACAGTATTAATTTAACATTATCCCTGCTATTTAATTATTTGATCCCCAAATTTATAGTTTAATAATTAGTTTCTTGTAGCATTTTCATTTATTCATATTGTGTTAGTATTTCCTAATAAGTCTATATTTACTGTCAGTTATATATTATAATTATTTATTTTCTCCTGTAAATGTTTATTCTGCATTTTCTCCTCGTCTTTTTACTTTTACCTGTTTTATCTTGTTTCTTTTCCTCAGGCTGTTTCTCCCGTTCCTTCTGACTCATAATAACAGGAAAGAGGGGAGGGAAGCCTAATGGGCGGGGATGAAGAGTCCGCTTCACTCCTATTGGTCAACATCAAGATCAAAGCCCTGTGTGACCATGGAAACCTGGCTACCTGTTTGTGGTCACAGGGACAAGTCGCGCAATGTTTGGGAAGCAATTTTAAAATCAAAAATGAATCTAATTAATTCGATTATAATTAAAACAGAAAATTCAAAAATAGGGATTATGTTAAATTACTGCTATTGAAAATGATAGATAAATAAGTTTATATTAATATACTTGGGAAGGTTATATGTGAGAGCGACATTTGGACCATTGATTCCATTTATTTTTATATTTATAACCAAATTTGGATGAATTAGACCTCCATAGCCAAACTGTTATAAATGTATAATGAAAGTTATAAATATTTTTCATCAGAGAAAGCTCAGCATAGGTTTGATTAGGAGGATCGTGTTAATGTAAAGACTTCAACCAAGCGGTTGGTTTCTTTGGAGAAGACATTTATCAGCTGGCAATTTCTAACGATTCAATAATTAATAATGAATTAGATTTTATTACTACTGTGTGTGTGTGTGTGTGTGTTTACCTTTGTAATCCAACATGTCCTCTGTCAAAGCCAGCATGGAGGGGAAGACACTGCTGATGCATAGTCCCAACACACAGGTACCGATGAAGAGAAACACACAGCTAGTGTAGAAGATCAACAAAAGGCACTGGACCAGAATGACCCCCACCTGAAGAAATCATACAGACACAAAAACTATCAGGCTTCAAAACCAGGAAGGTAATTAAACCAGGAAGTTGTCTCCCTGGTTTAATTCTAAACCGCGTACTTTTAAACTAAACTCCGGGAATCTTCTGTATGTTCATGCTGTCTCTTTTCAACTTGCATTTGTGTTTCTTTTTAAAGACAGAAAACAAAACTTGTTCTTTACCTTGTTTGCTATTGTTTTACCTACTTACTGTAGCCAGAAAAACGGAGAAGGAAATGATGCCACCTACGTCATTACAGCTATGAGGATGGCTACAGGAAGTAGCCGAAACGTTAGCAAACAAGGTAAACAACAAGTTTTGTTTTCTGTCTTTAAAAAGAACCAAGAAATGCAAAACTCTAGAAAATTGGAGAGAATATGGCGCTCTACACACCAGGAGCTGTCCCATTTATCCTGGAAAAACAGTCTTGTCCTTTATAAAAATAAGCTTCAACAAACTAGAACTGCTTAGTTTTCATCGCTAATTGAGGAGAATAAGCATAATCCTAAATTTCTTTTCAGTACAGTTGCTAAACTTACACAGAATCATAGCTCTGAACTAGGGCTGCACAATATATCGAAAAATTATCATCATCGCGATAACAGGACCTGCGATAGGCCCATCGCAAAACACGGCAAAAACAGCGATGAATGTTTGGTTCAACATTTCCGTCCGTGTCATACATCACCTTTTAGTAAAGCAGCTCTCTGTTTTTTACACGGAAGTACTATTTGACCAATCAAATGTAGTCCTTCTGATATGCGGCCAATCAGATGGTTCCGTTCACGTAGTACGCCCGCCCCCTACATAGACCCTTTTGGAAAGCAACACCGGAACTGAGTTAGCGGCGCCGTTCCCTTGTTCGTCATGCTGGCTCAGATTAACGAACGCACTTTGTGCTGAGGTTTCTGGAATCAGCGCTGCTTTCAAACGTGAACGTGAGTCCGTTCGGTGTCGTTAATCAGCTGATAATAACCGGGCTGACTCCGACACGTGCCGGTGAACCAACCCACCTTCATGTCGCTAGTGTTAGCCCCAGGCTCCGGTTAGCTTCCAGCTAAAAGGCTACAGCACTCTCCTCCCAGTCCCACCCTGCTAAAGAGGGCCTGGAAAAGTTCCCCCACACATCAAAGTGATTTTTCATTTATGAGCTTTTATAACCTTGTTAATCAGGATAGTTGATTTGTCAGAAGCTGCTAGCCGCTTATCTTAGAGGAGCTAGTTCAGTTTGTTAGCTTGTTATCAGAATCATAGATGCAGTTTCATCATCTGAGCTGCTTTTTAAGATCTAGGTAAACTTGTTCCATTTGGGGTTAAAAACAAACGTTTTCACATATTTTCCATGTAGTTTTTTTTGCCAGTTCCTCTTCTGAAAGGTAGACGATTGTTTTTCTCTTTCCCTCAGAAAATCTTAATATTCTCCTAGTTTGGCCCAGCACAGTTCACTTCCCAGTTACAGCAACAGCCTTCTATCATAACCACATCAGTGGAGAAAATGCTCAGTAGCAATGAGAGAATTTGCTGTTGCATTTAAGTGATGTTAACTATTATTTAACATTTAAACTTATTTTCTAAAACCCTGGTAAGGGATGTTTTTCTGTATTTGGAGCATCAGAAAAAGTTTTATGGTGGAGGTGATGTTTTACAGTCACTGAGAAACTGCATGCATGCAGTTTGTTGTTTTGCTGCTAATACAGTAGCGGGTGCGGCTGCTAATACAGTAGCGGGTGCGGCTGCTAAGACAGTAGCAGGTGCAGCTGCTAATACAGTAGCAGGTGCAGCTGCTTATACAGTAGCAGGTGCAGCTGCTAATACAGTAGCAGGTGCAGCTGCTTATACAGTAGCGGGTGCGGCTGCTAATACAGTAGCGGGTGCGGCTGCTAATACAGTAGCGGGTGCGGCTGCTAATACAGTAGCGGGTGCGGCTGCTAATACAGTAGCGGGTGCGGCTGCTAATACAGTAGCGGGTGCGGCTGCTAATACAGTAGCGGGTGCGGCTGCTAATACAGTAGCGGGTGCGGCTGCTAATGCAGTAGCGGGTACAGCTGCTAATACAGTAGCAGGTGCAGCTGCTAATACAGTAGCAGGTGCAGCTGCTAATACAGTAGCGGGTGCAGCTGCTAATACAGTAGCAGGTGCAGCTGCTAATGCAGTACCGGGTACAGCTGCTAATACAGTAGCAGGTGCAGCTGCTAATACAGTAGCGGGTGCAGCTGCTAATACGGTAGCAGGTGCAGCTGCTAATACAGTAGCAGGTACAGCTGCTAATACAGTAGCAGGTGCAGCTGCTAATACAGTAGCAGGTGCAGCTGCTAATACAGTAGCAGGTGCAGCTGCTTATACAGTAGCGGGTGCGGCTGCTAATACAGTAGCGGGTGCGGCTGCTAATACAGTAGCGGGTGCGGCTGCTAATACAGTAGCGGGTGCGGCTGCTAATACAGTAGCGGGTGCGGCTGCTAATACAGTAGCGGGTGCGGCTGCTTATACAGTAGCGGGTGCGGCTGCTAATACAGTAGCGGGTGCGGCTGCTAATACAGTAGCGGGTGCGGCTGCTTATACAGTAGCGGGTGCGGCTGCTAATACAGTAGCGGGTGCAGCTGCTAATACAGTAGCGGGTGCAGCTGCTAATACAGTAGCGGGTGCAGCTGCTAATACAGTAGCGGGTGCAGCTGCTAATGCAGTAGCGGGTGCAGCTGCTAATACAGTAGCGGGTGCGGCTGCTAATGCAGTAGCGGGTGCGGCTGCTAATGCAGTAGCGGGTGCGGCTGCTAATGCAGTAGCGGGTGCGGCTGCTAATGCAGTAGCGGGTGCGGCTGCTAATGCAGTAGCGGGTGCGGCTGCTAATGCAGCAGCGGGTGCAGCTGCTAATACAGTAGCGGGTGCAGCTGCTAATACAGTAGCGGGTGCAGCTGCTAATACAGTAGCAGGTGCGGCTGCTAATACAGTAGCGGGTGCGGCTGCTAATACAGTAGCAGGTGCGGCTGCTAATACAGTAGCGGGTGCGGCTGCTAATGCAGTAGCGGGTACAGCTGCTAATACAGTAGCAGGTGCAGCTGCTAATACAGTAGCAGGTGCAGCTGCTAATACAGTAGCGGGTGCAGCTGCTAATACAGTAGCAGGTGCAGCTGCTAATGCAGTACCGGGTACAGCTGCTAATACAGTAGCAGGTGCAGCTGCTAATACAGTAGCGGGTGCAGCTGCTAATACAGTAGCAGGTGCAGCTGCTAATACAGTAGCAGGTACAGCAGCTAATACAGTAGCAGGTGCAGCTGCTAATACAGTAGCGGGTGCGGCTGCTAATACAGTAGCGGGTGCAGCTGCTAATACAGTAGCGGGTGCGGCTGCTAATGCAGTAGCGGGTGCGGCTGCTAATGCAGTAGCGGGTGCGGCTGCTAATACAGTAGCGGGTGCAGCTGCTAATGCAGTACCGGGTACAGCTGCTAATACAGTAGCAGGTGCAGCTGCTAATACAGTAGCGGGTGCAGCTGCTAATACAGTAGCAGGTGCAGCTGCTAATACAGTAGCAGGTACAGCTGCTAATACAGTAGCAGGTGCAGCTGCTAATACAGTAGCAGGTACAGCTGCTAATACAGTAGCAGGTGCAGCTGCTAATACAGTAGCGGGTGCAGCTGCTAATGCAGTAGCGGGTGCGGCTGCTAATGCAGTAGCGGGTGCAGCTGCTAATGCAGTAGCGGGTGCGGCTGCTAATACAGTAGCGGGTGCAGCTGCTAATACAGTAGCGGGTACAGCTGCTAATACGGTAGCGGGTACAGCTGCTAATACGGTAGCGGGTGCAGCTGCTAATACGGTAGCGGGTACAGCTGCTAATACAGTAGCGGGTGCAGCTGCTAATACAGTAGCAGGTGCAGCTGCTAATACAGTAGCAGGTGCAGCTGCTAATACAGTAGCAGGTGCAGCTGCTAATACAGTAGCGGGTGCAGCTGCTAATACAGTAGCGGGTGCAGCTGCTAATACAGTAGCAGGTGCAGCCGCTAATACAGTAGCGGGTGCAGCTGCTAATACAGTAGCAGTTGCAGCTGCTAATACAGTAGCAGGTACAGCCGCTAATACAGTAGCAGGTGCAGCCGCTAATACAGTAGCGGGTGCAGCTGCTAATACAGTAGCGGGTGCAGCTGCTAATACAGTAGCGGGTGCAGCTGCTAATGCAGTAGCGGGTGCGGCTGCTAATGCAGTAGCGGGTGCGGCTGCTAATACAGTACCGGGTACAGCTGCTAATACAGTAGCAGGTGCAGCTGCTAATACAGTAGCGGGTGCAGCTGCTAATACAGTAGCAGGTGCAGCTGCTAATACAGTAGCAGGTACAGCTGCTAATACAGTAGCAGGTGCAGCTGCTAATACAGTAGCAGGTACAGCTGCTAATACAGTAGCAGGTGCAGCTGCTAATACAGTAGCGGGTGCAGCTGCTAATGCAGTAGCGGGTGCGGCTGCTAATGCAGTAGCGGGTGCAGCTGCTAATGCAGTAGCGGGTGCGGCTGCTAATACAGTAGCGGGTGCAGCTGCTAATACAGTAGCAGGTACAGCTGCTAATACAGTAGCGGGTACAGCTGCTAATACGGTAGCGGGTGCAGCTGCTAATACGGTAGCGGGTACAGCTGCTAATACAGTAGCGGGTGCAGCTGCTAATACAGTAGCAGGTGCAGCTGCTAATACAGTAGCAGGTGCAGCTGCTAATACAGTAGCAGGTGCAGCTGCTAATACAGTAGCGGGTGCAGCTGCTAATACAGTAGCGGGTGCAGCTGCTAATACAGTAGCAGGTGCAGCCGCTAATACAGTAGCGGGTGCAGCTGCTAATACAGTAGCAGTTGCAGCTGCTAATACAGTAGCAGGTACAGCTGCTAATACAGTAGCAGGTGCAGCCGCTAATACAGTAGCGGGTGCAGCTGCTAATACAGTAGCGGGTGCAGCTGCTAATACAGTAGCGGGTGCAGCTGCTAATGCAGTAGCGGGTGCGGCTGCTAAT